TTATATTGTATGGAGAGACTTCAATATAAACTACAAGATACCTTACAGGCAATATTAAGTGACGGAACTGATATGAAAAATTTGACATTATACTTATATTCCATAAAGGTGCTAAATAAATTGTAAAACTTTAAATTGTACAACGCCAATGACCCTATGAGGTTGAGGCATACATAAATTTAAAAAAATTGACATTTTATTTTTCCTGAAACTTAAATTATTGCTTATTACTCAAAACAATGAAAATTTGTCCCTTTTAATACTCAGGTCCAGATATATTATGATGTTTTTATGTTATTACTATTAAAAACTACGATATATTATTAATCGTACCTTCATAAATGTTGCAATTAACTGTTCCTTTCTTCTCTTCGCTTCCTCTTCCATTTCAGCCCGATGCTGCATGTACCTTGCCCGTTCTTCATCTGACATTTTAGCTAATTTATTAGCCACAGATTTCTTTTTCTTACCTCCCATGTTTTATAAATAATATAAAACGTCTTTTATAATAAAAAATTTAAGGTTCACTTATGGATACTTTATTTTTGAAGTTGCTAAGAAGACGAAACGTATCGATCTAACAATGGTTACCAACTAAAAGTCCCATTTCGTTGATACTCAACTGAACTGTTAGATAGTTGATAAGTTTATTCGATATTTTTATTGTTCGTTGACAGTTCATTATGAAAGAAAACTTTTTTAGTACAATAATTTTAAGTAGATCCAGCAAATGTAAAGATAAATTGTATGACCTCCCCAGTCCCAAGAAAACAGTTTTTATTATTTTAACAATATTTTATATTTCCTCTCTTCAGTTGTGAAAACAATAAACGAAAATTTATAAATATTAAAAAAAATATATTTGACAGACATAATATGATAAGTCCAGCATAATGGACATCAGGACTAACTTTCATATAATTTATATATGATTTTATAATAATACTAACTATAATTTGAGTATTCATTCTCGTTCAGAAGAAATACACAAGTACATTTTGCATTTTTTACAAAAGAATCTCGTCTTCTTAGTGCATCCAGGGTTTCGGCAACGCATGTAAGAATGTTTATTGCTGACAGAGCATATTGACAAATGGTTATTACTGTTTTTTTTACATATATAGACGGTAACTGGACAACTTTAGATCTTTTTACAGGAATTATGGGCTCTTCATCTTCAGATGACTCCAGTTCTCTTGGAATAGACGCACTAGCTTGTCTTCCGATTACCACCTAGAGCTAGTGACCTTCCAACATACAGCTTAAATTCCAATAAATCCATAACCTTTGATCTCTCATTGCCAATCGCTGCACGATCCTGACGATACTCTATCAATTAATTGGTCAATGCAAGATCAATAAAGTGCCAAAAGACACGTACAGGCTATTTTTTAGTGCACACACAGATTCTATATTATGAAATAAATCTGTCACACAAATCGACATCTCTTATTGATAATCGAGTAAATTTATGGAGGTGAAATATCTATTAAAATAAATTATTGTTGTTTCTGGACACAAGTTCGCCGACAATTTTTTCACGACAGGGCCGCCAAAGCCCAATGATTTGTCAGGAGCAGCATCAGACCTTCTACAGGAAGTACAGAAAAGTATGCCCTCTATTCGTAACGGAACATCACAAGAAATATGGGAGACTATTAAACACTACGTAACAACACCAGTGGATCGCTCAAAGAAAAATAATCCGGTGAAACGCAAACACTGGATAACAGATAAAACTCTTAAAGTAATTGAGAATAGAAGAAATCTTTGTAAAAGTGGTATACATGGTGAAAGGGAAAAAGCTAGTTTAAGAAACCTCAATAAAGAAATAAAACGAAGTGTAAGGCCGACAAAAAACAGTACTATCAAAGTGTATGCAAAGAACTTGAGAGACATGGTCAGAATAATCAGCCGAGAGATCTGTTTAGAAAAATACGCTACCTGACAAGAGACTTCAGAGCCAGAACTTGGGCCATTGAAGATAACACTAAAACCCTGAGAACAAACAGAGAAGACATAGCAGAGACATGGAGATCGTATTGCAGGGACCTATATAAAGATGATCAACGCTAAGAGCTTGTTAGCAAAATCTCTGACGAGGTGGAAGAAGAACCTGATATACTCGAAAATGAAGTAAGACAAGCTATCAACAAGCTCAAATATAACAAAGCACCAGGTCCAGATATGATAACAGCAGAAATGCTTAAAGCCACAGAAGATACCGGCGTAAAGTTACTTCATCTACTCTGTAACCAAATATGGCATTCAAACAATGGCCTGAAGACTGGACAAAATCCACAATACCGAACATACATAAAAAAGGCAGCTTCCATAAATGCGATAATTATAGAACTATCTCTCTTATATCCCATGCCAGCAAGATAATGCTACATATAATCAATGAGAGACTGAAAACATTCCTTCAAAGAGAAATTCCACAAGAGCAAACTGGATTTACCAAAGGTAGAGGCACTCGAGAACACCTGCTGAATATAAGACAGATAATCGAGAAATCTAAGGAATTCAACATCCCACTATACATCTGTTTTATAGATTACCGTAAAGCGTTCGACAGGGTCAAGTGGAGACACTTATGGCGAATACTAAAAGAAGTAGGCGTACCACAACATCTAATTACGCTTATAACTGAACTATATGAACACACTACTGGATCAGTTAAAATACTTGACACACTTTCGAACAAGTTTCATCCAGAACGGGGTGTCAGACAAGGATGTATACTATCTCCACAATTATTCAACATATATGGGGAGTATATTATGCGAAGAGCACTTGAAGGATGGGAAAAGTGCATCTCAATAAATGGTCATAAACTAAACAACCTACGTTCCACAGATGACACAGGTCTTCTTGCAAATAGTCAAGCAGAGCTGATGGAACTTATACGACTGATCGAAAACGAAAATCAAATATTTGGTCTGCAATTAAACATATCAAAGACAAAGTGGATAGACTACACAACAATCATCCACACATAACCACAATTGACCGGTTCGAGGTTGTGAGCTCATACTTATATCTGGATCATTAATCACAAACACAGGGTCATTACAAGAAGAGATTAAACGTAGATGTGATCTAGCAAATGTTGCCACAACAAAAATGACCAAAATATGGAAGGACTGTCAAATTACAAGAGCGATAAAGATGAGGTTGATCAACTGCTTAATATTCCCAATACTGACCTACGGATGTGAATCTTGGACTCTGAGACAATCGGAGAGAAAAAAGATAGACGCCACTGAAATGTTCTGTTGGAGACGAATGTTACGAATTCCTTGGACCGACGGTAGAACAAATAATTCAATTTTAAGAGAGCTAAAAGTTAGCCAACGACTCTCTAGTAAAGTCCATTTCCAACAATTAAAATGTTTTGGGCATGTTATGAGAGCAAACACAGAAAACATGGAAAGACTCATAATACAAGGAAAGGTGGAAGGCCGAATATCACGAGGAAGATCCCCACCAAGATGGATAGATCAAATTACAGGAATATGCCAAAGACCTATGCATGAATTACAAGAAATGACCAGAGACAAAGATCTCTGGAGACGGACAATACACGACATCACGTCGACCACTACACTCCCCCTGGGGGATCACGATTGAAGAGATAGAAATAAAGAAAAGTTTTTGAAGCAAGCACAAAATTCTTCAAACCTAGAGGATTACGTTTGTTCTTGACATACTATCGTAGACTAGTGGTGCCAGTGTATGGAATCATTTGTTCGTCGATGGACAACTCGCGAGATCTTCAAAGAGTGATTCATTTATTTCTTACAACATCAAGAATAGGCTGAACTTTCCAAAATTTATTTGCCTTTTTGGTGTCCTCTAAAACTACACATTTATTTACAACATGTAAAAATTTCGTAACTTGTAGAATCTATCTCGAGGAAGCAGAATAATAATAAGAATTTCAATTCCTTTCATGAAATAGAGGCGTAAGCGCGGTAGTCCAAAAATTCCCATCAAAGCATGAATACTTGTTATTTTCTTGAATTCCTCCGGAGTGGACCTTAGATTTTTCTTTTCGTTTGCTTGCATAGCTCGTATGTTACTTGCTGAAGACAAGTTTTTCCAAAAATGCTCAGGAAAATACTCAGAAAAATAATCCAATGGTGTCCAGAATTCGTGATCTTCACTAGCTGTCCATAGATTAGCGGCGTGGGAATCTTGAGTCTCAAAAACATTTTTATTCCACCTATTCTTAACATCATCTAATTTTTCCATTTTACTGGTGTTTCTCCCAACGCTGCAGAAAAGGAGTATCACCGTCAGAATCCCACTCCGAATCTGAATCATTTTCTAAATGATTCTGGGTATTAGTTTCGTTTTCATAAAAAACAGTTGAGAGGTTTTTAGAAACATTCTCGTTTTCACTACAATGATTATCGCTATTTTCACTGTGGAAAAAATCGCTATCTGACAAAATAGCCTCACAACAAACGAACAAACAACAAACTCACGAAGTAGGCGCTGTTGTCAAATTTTTCAAACGAGTAAATTTTACTGATAAATAGAAAGTCCAGTATGCTGCAATATAGGACGCAGCCATGCCAACCCGAATAGTCACAAGGGATCAAACAAATTTTGACGTGGACACCACACGGGAGAAGGAAAAGAGGAAGGCCGAGAAGAAGCTGTCGAGAGGGAATTGAAAAAGAACTAGAGGAAAGAGAAATCCCCCAGGCCTATGGTTAAATAGAGAAGAATGGCGGCTAGGAGTCGGAAGGCGTCGGAGAACGCTGTAAACCGATAGTAGAAGTAGTAGTATTGTCCAGCTAACTGAACATATGGACTTAGGAGGATAGAACAAAATTATTCTTCAGTTCAGATTGATTTACCTACATAGCAACTAAAAGTTTTATGCTGTTACTTCTTTTAAAAAGTTACTTTTTTTCATTCCGGTTTACTTCTGTTTTTAATTATAATGGTTGCGTTTTTAACTTCATAGACAAAACAATTAAATATGTACTTTAAAATTTTATTAGTAAAAAAATATCGATTAAAAATATAAATAAAATAAATATATACTACATGTAATTACGAATGAAACGGTCTTTTTAAAGTTGCAGCTCTGACTTCGAATATTACAGGTTTCTCCTTAGTGCTCGGCATAAAAGATTGTACTCTTCTGATCCGATCCCCTTCTCTTACGACCGGAGTTACCTGGAATAGCTTTGACTCCAGTATTTCCTTTCGGTCTTCCGCAACTTTCATTTTCTCATTAGCAATTCTTAATTGGTTGTCTAAATGCAAACGTTCCTTCTCGAGTTGTGCCAAGCGTTGTTCTGCACCTAAAAAAATAATTTTAGTAAAAGTAAAGAAAAAGTTATGTCTGTATTTTTTAATTTGTTAATTTCCACAGATTCTAATACAAATAGCTTAAAGCCTTTATTTGGCCTATCTGGAGCAATAAAATGTATGATGCTATAATGAAGAGACATGACAGAAATGGTCAAAAAATGCATGTGGCATATTTCAAACCAGAGAAATAACAAATAGAATACAAAGATGGATAACTGGAGACCAGGTCTAAAAAATATAAATCGAGAATATCTATAAATAGTATACTGTGGTGATGTAAAAAGGACTTTGGAAGTGAAATGTACGTAAGGAGGAAAGGTCATATTCTGAATGTATGACTTTCAAGAGAAAAAAGAGATCGGAGAGAAAATAAGTAATCTTAAGAGAAAAATGGATAATGGTGTATAATAAAGGTAGTTGGGAATATTATTATATGCACAAACCTCGTATTTTCTAAAAATATGATTGACATTTTTGTAATCAACAATTTTGCAATGTGTTTATACAAATTCCAAGTTTCTGTTTAAATATATCACCGGGATATATGAATATATATTTATAAGTTTATATAAACAAAAAACCACGATTTTTGCGAAAACCCAGTTTTTATATCAATGACCCGAGAGAAAATTAGAAACAAATTAATATTGTTCGGCTATTCAGATTTTACCAGCTATTCCACGTAAAACAAACATTAGCTAAAGCAGGTTCTTCTTCTTCAAGTGCAATCTCCGCGGTGGAGGTGGGCAATCATCATAGCTATTCGGACATTTGAGACGGCTGCTCTGAAAAGTTCAATTGATGTACATCCGTAGCACTCTCGCAGGTTGCGCCTCCCTATACTTCTCTTTCCTTGGATCTTTCCCTGCATAATCAGAGCAAGGTGTATTTCTCTCCACGTATAATGATCGAGTTATTCCAATTTTCTTGTTTTAATTGTATTTAAAATTTCTATTTCTTTATTCATCCTTTTCAGAACCTCTTTGTTTGTGACATGTTATGTCCACGATAATTTCAAAATTCTTCTATACACCCACAGCTCGAAAGGTCCAAGATTCCATTCCATGAAACAAAGTCGAAAAAACATACCACCTCGCCAACCTAACTCTTAGTTCTAATTTTAAATGCCTTGTATATAGCACTCTTCCCATTTTGTTGAAATTTGCCCTAGCCTTTTCTATTCTGAATTTGATCTCCTGAATGGAATCATTTTTGAAGTTAATCATTATTCCCAGATGTGCATATTTGTCCACTTGTTCGGCGTTGGTTCCGTTTATTAGAATATTCTCATTATTTCTTTTAGTATTCGATATTCTCATAAATTTAGTCTTCTTGACGTTCATTGCTAGACCGTACTCTTTTCCATACTCCGCTATTCTGGTCACCAGTCTCTGAAGATCTTCAATATTTTCGGCCAAGATCACAGTGTCGTCCGCATATCTAATGTTGTTATTGGGAACTCCATTTACCTTTATTCCAGCTGTATCACCCTCATTAACTTATTATATTACATATTAATAGAACACCTAGTGTAGAACGCATATAGGAACTATGGTAGGACGCCTGTCAGTAGAAAGATCATAAAAGGAATGTACGGACGCAGTGAGAACCGATGCTATGCTGAATAGAAAGGCTGAATAAAAAGGGAGGATAGAAAATGGCTAATGGCTAATACTGTAATAAACTCTAAAGTCTATGCCCGTAAATGACACTGGCAAATCCTAGCCTTGATCGAAAGGATGAAGGTAAAGCACCTGGTCTTCAAATTTGCGGTTGGGCGTAGGGCCTTAAACTTTTATTTAAAAAAAAAAGAAAGATTATGAGTAAAAAACATAAAAGCTTACAGACTTATTTTGGCGACCTAGTAAATGAAAAAAGGACGATTAGATTTAGATCAAGAAACAGGAGGACGTTATATTTGGCACAGTCTTGAAAATGATGATAGTCTTCTGCGCTTTTTACAATATACAAAGCAAACAATATACAATATGCATTCCATGACCTATCGATCCACCACGGCAAATATCCTTCGCGAATTAGATTCTTTTACTCACGAACATAAGTAAATAAATAAATCAGAAAGATGTTTAAGATTTAATTATAATCCACGACTCCTACCATCGGCTTATACGTATTTCGATCTTATTAGGTCTCCTCAGAGCGACAAATGCAGGAGCCCAGCATTGAAATTAAATCTAAAATCCACAAGGAAAAAATTCCTGTATCTGGCTGTATACCACGTATAACAAAAAGAGGTTAATCTTTGTAAATGGGTATATTTATTTAAAAAACCCTTAAAAGGGCCACATCAATAGAACAAACGTTTTCGGACTAAACAGTCCATCATCAGGTTATTAAAATCGAAAATGCTAGGTCATAATGCCTGAGCCACCAAAATATTAGGGTAAAAACCCTTAAACGTAACTAGACCCCACTAAATGTAATTTAAAGGGTTTTTACCCTAATATTTTGGTGGCTCAGGCATTATGACCTAGCATTTTCGATTTTAATAACCTGATGATGGACTGTTTAGTCCGAAAACGTTTGTTCTATTGATGTGGCCCTTTTAAGGGTTTTTTAAATAAATATACCCATTTACAAAGATTAACCTCTTTTTTTTAAATCTAAAATGTTTTTGTGTTGCAAATAATGGTCTATGCAGATGATATTTTCATTATTGAAAAAACCTTCGATAAAGCAGTTAAAACTTTGACACGTATTAAAAACATCACACTTGGTTATGGGATAAATTTAGTAGCTCTATATTCCATGGAACTGGTGCAGCCAAAACTAGAACAAATGAAGAATAGAGTAGTCAAACCACTATAAAAAACAGCTAGCTGATAGCACCCTGTAAGAGCAACTTCATCTAGGTTACAGATGAAGACACCAACGACGATGAAGACTAATAAGGAGAACATTCGAAACAGCCAATTTGACGGAAGTAGCAGTGTGAGTTATGGCTATAGAAAATTAATTATTCCATAGGTTATAAGTTTATTTTGACATTTCTATTTCCACGTGGATTTACCATTATATAAGTTTCTTGTATGTTGTTTATGCATATAAAAAGTTTTATTTTGATGCCCGTTATAATATTTGATTTAATAGTATATGACCATATTATTTATTTATCATTAGATATATGAGATATTTTGCCATTACAATGTCTGATAAAATAATTATAATAAAGTGCAAAAAGCTCATTTAAAAAACCAATACTGATTAAACACATACTCTTCAGTTGATATTCCTTTTCCTTCTGAAGATCTTCATACTCCTTTCTTTTCTGCCGTTCTTCTTCTAGCAATAATTTTTGTTCTGCTTGCAATCTTTCGAGTTCTTCGCGCTTTTCCCATTCTTCTGCCAACACTCGCGCTTGTAATCTGAAACATATACGATTTATTCATAATGTGTAGAATTTTGTTTAAATTTTGTACAATATCAAAAAAGAAAAAAAATTTGTACGAACTTAATTCTATGTACATTCACGCACTTCTGAACATAAGTTTCGACCGAATTACTCCACTGATTTCTGTCATGTGCTTTGAAACACATGTGCTGAATGATTTCCGAGGAGGAAATTGAAACCCTAATAAATTTACTTTAACCTTTAATTGTGGCTTATTCCCATATAAATAGTAATTAATCATCAAATTAATGTTTTTTAAATACCATCTTATTACTTACCCTCTTACTATTTCTTCGTCCCGCTTAGCTTGAGTCTCTTCTTCTAACAATTTCTCAAGCTTGGATCTTAATTGTTCTAATTCGGTTAATTTTTTAGCTTCTTCCTTCATAACGACTTCGAGTTCTTTTGCATGGCCCTCCGCCGCTTCTCTAGCGTTTCTCTCCTGTTGCAATTGATACTTGGCTCTTATCATTTCTTGCACCCTTCCTTGTCTTTGTAGTCTCCTCTTTGTTGCTTGAAGGCGTTGGAAGCTTTGATACTTTCCTTTAAAATGGAAACTAATATTAAAAATAATAATAATATAGTAAACCCTCTACAATATAGGAAAAGAACATACATCAGTAGGTGATACTGGATTCTTCTTTGTTCTCAATGAAAAAATCAAAGAATTTTATGACGAAAAAGTACCTACACACAATGTTATAATTGTGTTGATTTTGACAGTAAAACTGAAGTAAGACACGTGCTTAGTTAGAAAACATCACTAGGAGACAATGAAATCCCTATTAACAGAATGAAAGCTTCTTCTACAAGTTGTAAAATAGCTATCATAGCAAGGACGATGGACAAAAATTTACTAATTACATTGAAGAGAAAAGTCTTCAATCAATGTGTGCTATCAGGAATGATCTATTGTGCAGAGACACTTTCACAAAGAAACATTTCGAGACTAAAAGTAAAACAAAGAATAATGCAACAGCTAATAATAAGTGTTAGGCTGAAAAACAAGATCTTCGAAATAAAACTAGGCTAACAGATGTTATAGAAAGCGTATATAAACTGAAAGTTTAAATATACATAATATAGTAATATGTATGGATCAAAGATGGACTCCCAAACTACTCACAAGACCAAGAATATGTAAAAGAAGCAAAAGACCTATACGATGACTGGATGATTAACAGGTTGACGGTCATAAGTACCACATGTGGTACTCAGTTATCTTGCCATTTATGCTACAGCTCTTCTAGAGCATATTAACCCATGAGGCCACGACGATTTTTATTTATTATTTTAATTTAGGCTTTTGTAAGAATCTTTTGGGGGTTCATTAATATATTTGTAAGTATTTCACACGGTTTTGAACCTAGGCACTCATAGGTAGTATAGTTATACTCATGTTGGTGCTCATAGTCCTACAAGTAATGTTTTAATCAGAGGGTCATGATCTGCACCTCTGGCACTCACAATAAAATACTATTTTCTAATATTTATCGACCTGCAGATTTCTGTAAACTTAAATTGATCTTAAATCTTAAATCTAAAATCCAAAAGCTTTTTGGAAGCTTTAACAGGTAATTTAGTTGACTGTTGTTGCTTTCCGATACAGCCGCGATTATTAATTGTAATAATGGATGCCAAAGAAGAGAAGAGATTACTGCAGTTGTTTGAGACTGTAGAAATACGAAGCGGATTATCGTCTATTTCGAAGTTTCATGACATTGACCCAGCGGACCCAGAGTATGCACTAGACAATGAAGATTCGGACAGTGACGAAATTAGTGAAAATGAAGTTTTGAGAAATAAAGAGTTAAATAATGAGCAAGAACCAGTACCTGAGAATGTTCCCATATCTGAAAATTGGCAAATACCTGATCAGCAAAGGATTAAAAATATAAATTACAATACGAATTCCGAAGAAGTCGGCGTAAACCCCGATCTAATGGATACAATGCAAGAGCCCTTTTCATTTCTTTTGTTTGTTTTTTTATGAATAAATGGTATTCCTATTAGTAAATCAAACAAACAATTATGCTCAACAATATCTTGGATGACCCAATATAAAGAAAAGTGAAAGAATTAAAAGCGGGGTACTGACAAATCGACAAGAAATGCATACCTTTTTAGGCACTCTTATATGAATGGGTTTAGTAGATATGTCCTCTCTGGCTCATTATTGGATAAACACACGGTTATATAATAGCAACTGAGAGACTACATGGCCAAAAACCGATTTGAGTTGACTTTGAGGTACTATTACAACATTTTTATATTAGGTTTTAATTACTAAAATGTATATTTATTTTCAGCATATTTCATATTTCGGATAACTCAACACAGGTTCTCGGAGATTTGCTTCACAAGGTTTAGCCCCTTTTCACTTACTAGTGGCTAAGTTTAATCAGTATCAATTACTAAAATGTATATTTATTTTCAGCATATTTCATATTTCGGATAACTCAACACAGGTTCTCGGAGATTTGCTTCACAAGGTTTAGCCCCTTTTCACTTACTAGTGGCTAAGTTTAATCAGTGTGTAATTCCCGAAATGTCACTGTGTATAGATGAGTCGATGGTACCATTTCAAAGTAGGCTAAGTTTTAGGCAGTACCTGCAAAACAAAAGGCATCGGTATGGGGTTAAAATTTAATGCAGGCAAATCCTTCATAGATGTATTGGATCAAATGAATTCTTATAATTGAAGTCATTGAAATGGTACCGAAAAGTTGATTTTAATATCTTACTAAAAGTTGCCGTTGTAACTGAGATGTCGCTTTATTCTAAAGTGGCAAGTAAATCAATAAAATAACACAATTTAGAGAGGAAATTATCAAAGATATGCTTATTAAATGTAATTGTATAATGCCTGCTAATAATTTACACAATTTAGTAAAATGTCTAAAAATAAACCGCTGCAGCCAATGTTATAGGAATATTGTTACCAAGCATGGAAGACAAAAGCACAAAAGAGGACTCCACGTGTGTGGACTAAATGTTTTGCTTGCGCGAAATATTTGTGTTCTGACAGCTTGTCTAAGGTACATGCTGATAAACTACAGTAATTTTTCTTTATTAGCATTTATGTTAAGTTGTCGACTATTTGAGTGGACAGTGAAGCCATCTCAGAATTAGCGCTTGCCGAGATCAGTGAGGGCCTTATAATAAACGGTGAGCCACTTAATAACATAAGATATGCTGACGACACCGTCCTTCTAGCAGGAACACTAGAAGAACTGCAACACCTTGCTGAACAACTAAATATATATTGCAACGATTATGGACTAAAAATCAATTTGAAGAAAACCAAGTTCATGGTATTTACAAAAGCACAAAACATCAAAGTTAAGCTTGTACTAGATAATACAGAAATTGAACAAATATCTTCGTACAAATACCTTGGAGCATGGATCACAGAAGATACTAATAAGACAAAAGAAATAAGATGCCGCATTGAAATTGCGCGGTCAACTTTTAATAGAATGAGAAAACTTTTTTGTAATCGCGATATCAATATATCGCTCCGGATAAGAATGCTTCGATGTTATATTTTCTCTACCCTTTTGTATGGAGTTGAAGCTTGGACACTTAAAAAATCCAACTTAAAAAAATAGAAGCATTCGAAATGTGGTGTTACCGACGTATTTTGAAAATATCATGGATGGATCGCAAAACAAACGAACAAGTTCTCGAACAACTAGGAAAACAATGCGAAGTTTTAAATTCCATAAAAATCAGGAAATTGGAATACTTGGGGCACATCATGAGAGGTGAAAAGTATGAACTACTAAGGAATATAATCATCATCAATGGTGCTACAGTCCTATGAAAGAGCCTCGACCTTCCCAAGTCTATTACTCCAGGCAGTCCTATCCATTGCCAACCGTTGCCAGTTTGCTGCGCTTATCTTTCTACCATCCTCATCTACACCATCCTTCCATATGAGTTTTGGCCTACCCCTTTTTCTGCTTCCCACGGGTTGTGACATAAGGATTCTTCTAGGAGGGTTGTTCTGCTGTGATCTTGCGATGAAGAGATACTACGTCTTTACCACCAAATATTTGTTTATATCTGTGGTATACCTCGTAGTTGTATCTCCTCCTCACAAACACCATTTTCACAGATGCCACCAAATATTCCTCTCAGGATCCTTCGTTCAAATATAAGCAAAAGGTCTTCATCTGCCTTGGAGATGGTCCATTTCTCTGATCCATATGTCAACACTGGCTGTATAAGGGTCACTAAGGAATATAATGCAGGGTAAAATCAGAGGTAGAAGAAGCGTAGGAAGACGTAAAATCTCGTGGCTACGCAATCTCCGTGAATGGTTTGGATGCAGTTCGATTGAACTATTCAGGCGAGCAATCAATAAAATTATAATTGCCAGAATGATTTCCAATCTCCGATAGGAGTGGAACTTGAAGAAGAAGAAGAAGAAGTCGACTATTTTTTTGTACTGTTTGTTAGAGTTCCGCTACTTGTTAAATATATATTTAAGCTAAAAAAGCGGTTTTATTACATTTTGATAAACGACCTTTATAAAAAAAGTATAATACGATCTAGCTACGGGCTAAAATCATGGAACGGCTTTATGAAGCCAAAACTTTAATTTCTCTATATAAAATGTATATCAAAAAGCTATAAGTACAAGCCGAGTGACTGCTTAGGAACAGGGCATGCAGTTTTGTAAGATATACTGAGTACCATATGATGCTTAATATTTGAATTTATCTTTAGGACTAAGTACCATATGTTGTACTCAAACGACTCTTTGGCAATGCAAGGAAAAAGAGGCTGGCAGTCAACCTATTAAGGAAAAATATGGAAAATCTAATTACAATCGGCACAAGACCGAAAATTTCAAGATGTAGAAGTATCAAAAAGACCACGTTTCGACACAATTATGCCTTTATGCGCCATTTTATAACGTCGATGCAATCTCAGACCAAAATTATACTTCTGAAATCAAATATCAATCCAAACAAAAGATATTTCTGTAAAAATACTGTTATATTTATTAAAAAATAATATTAACGACTTCAAAGATCATTAATCTCAATGACAAACATATCTTATCTTAGACAAACAATTGCAAAATGTTAATAACTGAATATATATTTACCTGAATGTTCCGAAGCCAATTGTAATGCCGATATCCACTGTAATCTACTCATGTGATCCGTCGTGCCCAGTTCGTAAGTTCTCTCGGAACTGTGTAGCAAGATTTTATACCCAGCCTTTGGTTCCACTTTACAACGAGGTTCTAAAGTCAACGATCCTCTTCTGTCTTTTTCATTCCTTCCCGTGTAATACGTCAGTTCTGAGGGTCGCAAAACGAACCAGTACTCTCTCATAGTTGGAAATATATATCCCTTTTTAGTTAAAAAACCTTTCTTGATTACATCTTCTACAATTTTCTGGTAAATGTTGTTTACTGATTCGGCTAAAGCAACATTATCATTTATTTCATTCAGACATCTACAATATCAAATTTAATTAAATAATTTCTTGAAGACAAGGATTTTAGTAGAAGTAATGGATTTTGACAAGAGCTATGATGTAGATTCAGTACATAAGTTTACCTGTTATTTTCAAGGTCATAGCTCTTGTTAAAATCCATTACCTATATATAACAATATAATAATACAAACCTGGATTCTAGAACTGCAATAAACGGTGCAAATCGAAAGTTTCCCATCGAAATACTGAGACTGGCAAAATCCTCTTCGTCAAAGTAGCAACCCAACGACGATGCAATACTTTGGGCAATATTACAAACTTCGGAAGGATGTAGCAAAACTTGATAAACATTTTCGTTGAACTGATCGACTACTAATTCTGCCAAGACGCAAAAAATTCGAAAAATTTGGAACATCGAATCATCGGAAAAGATTCTGTTGTCTCTTGGTAAATACCTCGTTCTGCAGATCAGCCAACATACTTCTGCGATTTTACTTTCGAATAACCTCAATTCGTGGTGCTGTAATGTTTTCGGTAGAGAAGAGAAAACTTCTTTTTGTAAATAATACTTAAACTGGTCAAAATTTAATACTGAAGTACTGCGAAAGTGTTCAAGGCCTCTTTCTACCCCGTAAAGATCTAATAGTGTTCCAATATTGGCCGTCAGCACCTGAAAATATAATATAAGTTATCTAAGAATAAAATAATAAAAACTTTTGTTTTATAGGTTACACTTATTACAAATTATTTTCACTATGTAACGATAATATTTTGCTTACCACGGGGGGCATTAACACAGGGGATAGAAAATTGGAAGAAACTATTGGGGGTGGAGATAGGGCAAGCAAAATAATCGCTACTGATGCGAACGGCACTCAGGGTTTGGTAGGAGAGCTGGGGTCGTGGATAAGTAAAAGGTAAGGGGGTGAAATGGGGCAACTACAAAAAAAAATGAAATAAAGGGGTCATTAATCTCTTGGAACAAACACAATAAAAATAAACAAAAAACATCTCAAGGAATTTAATATAGGGCGCCACTTGAGGTGCCTAATTATGCCTATTACAACCACTAGTTGTAACTAGGGAGACAATTAGAAAAAAAATTTAAAACATAAAAAACATATCTTTTTCAAATAAAAATCAAAAAAGGTTTAGCTCAAAAAAAAATAAATAAAAAGTTAAGACAACAAAATTTAACCTTTATTTATGTGTCACCACAAACAGTTACATGGAGAAATACAAAATTCAAAGACTTACATGTGTCATCCATTAACAAACTCCATTTCTACAAAACTTACAAAATTGCATGGAGGTTAACCTAAACAAAACAAAACAAATCAACATCAAAAATACTAAAACGAGCTGTCATAAATTAACATTAAATTTCAAAAAAAAACTAAACACAAATTGACAGCTTTACTCAAAACCTAAAATTTACAATTTTAAATGTCAACGAAAGCAATTATTATTTTATAAAAAAATGTCTGTCTTTAGTTTAAAATTTGAACAAAATGTTACCTTAATTCACATGATCACACTTAAGTTTCTGAAACCATAACTGGAACTGAGGGCTCCACTCTCTCTGCATCACGAAAACCTCCATCTCCAAACTGTCCAAAGCCTTGGATAAAAGCAGGAACAAAAAAAACAAAACGAGGATGTCCTCCAATCCTCACTCAAAACATTAATAATTGAAGCATTTACTGCCACAAAACCAATAACAACTGCTACATATTCTTCATAATAAAAGACGAAAACAGAACACTTACAAATTCGACGTGAATTTGGACATAACGCTGAACCGTTCTTGAATGCGGCTCCAACGAGAGTGACGAAATTTTTTTCGCTTAACTTGAATATAAACAAACAACGAAAATAAAAACGTAGATATCTTTTTGCGACGCATAAACTTAAAAAGAAATTGCCGAAGTAAAATAAACAACTCTCAAATGGTTTTATTACTCGGCGACGAAACACTTTTGGGTACTTTGAAAGATACGAACTAACAACACGGAAAAATTCTTCGTTTCATTTTTTAAAAATATATAAGGAGTTTTTAATATATTTTATTATACGAGGAGGTTTCAATATACTCAAAAGAATCAATGAAATTGAAAATGCTACAACTATAGCCGTTTTGGCAGACTGGTCCTTCTTCATGGCTTTTAAAAATGAAAGAGAAAAGGAGAAACGTGGGCAAGAAATGGATGCGATGAAGAAGCGCGAACAAGAAAAAGAAAACTATATAGAAGAAGAGGGAGAAAAACGTAGCCAGAAGAGGAAGGGGAGAAAGAAAGGCGCAGAAAAGTAAAGGTAAAAACAGTTTATTTTAAATTCACAAAAATTTTAAGTTAGAACGAAGAACAACAGAACGATAAGAACTGAAGAAATACTGATAAACCAGTTATTCGAGACAAATAACTATAAATGAAGAAACAGTATTACTATAGTTCTGTTAGATTTATTTCATATAGAAAAATCCCTTCACAAAAAAAAATATTAAAAATCTAGAATGTTTTTAATAAAAATTACTAGACAGAAGTGTAACAATATCATAGTATATGGTACTATAAACAATACTTTAAATATAAGATATAATAAGAATCCTATATGTTGTGATCAAAATACTAATAATAAACATATATTTCCAGAGAAAACAGTTCTGGACCTGAGTATTAAAAGGGCCAAACTCCATTTTTGCCTTTATTGAGTTGGTATCACCACAAAAATTATAATATTAAAAACTTTCATTGCAAAAACAGCCAATTCGTGTGAGTACCATCACATATAGACATTAAAGGAAACGAACTAGCTGATGAAAATGCTCGAGAAATAGCAAATTCTCCCAATATCAGACCGATAATAAAACCATTAGCAGAAGATCTCAATCCGTATTAAATATATGAAAGAAATCCTATATAAAAGAAATGAAACCAACTTTTGGACGATGGAGTAACAACGTCCCTAGCCGTTTCCTTCAGGTTATATTAACCAGACTCCGATTAGGACACACAAACTCACACATGAATATCTCATGAAGAAGGAACCTCAACCAAAATGTACTCTGTGACGTGCCGTTAACGTATTAACGGAGTGTCCCAAATATAGTGCTGAAAGACTAATTAATAAAATTCCATCAGTTATAAGAGATATTTTTAGTGAGTGTACCAGTGAAAATATTGTGAAATTTTCAATATCCAGTGAGCATTGGACTTAAGCCTTTTTATTCTCAAGTAATTGGAAATTGTCCTTTACAAAAACATAACCTTAAAAAAATTGTTGTTGTTGTTCTATGCATCAAAATAATTGGTTAAATTCTTTTCAATATAAGGACAAGTGGTATAACAACATACAAAAATGTTTTCCTAATAAACCATGATTTGACACAATCCCATACATATAATGAGGACTGGTCATTGCCTGACAGAAGTAAATTTATATAAAATCAGCATTCGCGATAATCCATACTGTGAATGTGGGCAAATGGAAACACTAGAACACATATTTTGGGAATGCCCAATAAACAAAATAAAAGATTATGATGTATATCAGGAGCTGATCAAAATTAATATTAAAACCCCAATTAACATACCAATGCTTCTATGCGATATTAACTTTATGTTTTCTTAATATTTTTAGGAATCAGAAAGTAGTAAGAACGTTTCTGATGATCAAGATCTTAATTATAGTCCAGATGAAAACAATAGCGAAGATGAGCGCCTATTTTAACAGTTAGAGTGGAAAAAATAAATCAAGGAAGCGAGTGAAAAGTATTCAAGATTGGATTCAGTTAAAAGACAGGAACAAAAACGTAAAGGCGAGGAATATAAAACTAAAAAGGGAAAGGAAATGAAAGTTAAAATTTTACCAATTAAGTAAACACGCTCAATATCAAGAATTAACGGAAAGTGAGGAAGAAAAACTTAAATATAGTCAATGGCTGGCACCAGAGAAAATGGAAGTCGGAGATCTTTTTATAGGAAACATTTTTTAAAAGATTCTACCGAAAATCGAACAAAGTCTGTCAAAGCATGTACTAAAGCACCTAGGACTTTTCTATTAAAAAGATAAGAGTGATTGTAGAGAAAAAAAGAGCCCATGGTGGGGTATGTTCACCAGATGGAAGAGGAATGCATAGAAACCAACCCAAAATTGTTGAACAGTTGAAAGATATTGTTCGCGATCACATAAGAAGTGTTCCAGCATATGCCAGCCAATTTTTCTCGTGAAAAATATTCTAGATTTTGTATATAATTGTCTGTGGTATATAAAATGGTCAATATCGAGGCATCACACAGAAAATTAAATGATTTATGTGTGTCTTTTATTGTAAAAGTAAACTTCTTCTTAATTCTCTATTTGCATTTCCGATTCCTGTACGCCTCTTTTAAACAACGGTATCTTTTGTGCTATTTGCCTCATTTTACGTATTTTAAATTGCAACCAATATTTATTTTCATCAGATGTACATTGTTAACAGACCTCACTATCTTGTTTCAAGGTCCATGTTGATTTGATCTACTCCAGTTGCTTTTTTGTTGTTCGTTGATGAATTGTGAGTTTAACCTCTTCTGTGTTATTGTTTGGTTTTATTATTTTAAGTTGTATTTAGTTTGTTTATTAGACAAATTACTATTTCTCTAATAAACTTTTGCACGATTGCTGATTTTTTTGCACTGGAGTACTTTTTGCTTGTCAAAAGTGTCAGTTTTGATCAGTGTAATCAGAGCATTGATCACTTGATGATTCACTTATCGTAATCCATTCCTGCTTCTTGTTTTGTTTTTGGTACCAATGATTTTCTAACGGTTTTCGGTTTTCTACCAACAATGTTTTAAAACACAGGAAACGAGCTATACATGAGATTTGGAGGAAAGAGCTATACCCATTGCAGGACGTAGAGGTCATGAAATAGCTTCTTGTTAAGAAAATTTGTTTTATATATAGCTTCAAAAGACATTTAAACTCTTAATTTTTACAGCGATTCATGTTCTGGCAGAATAGAAACATTTATTTTGCTACAGGATGTTTTGCATGATTTAAAGGAGCTACCCAGACACAAACTCATTATTTGAGATAAACCACTACTTTATGGAACCAGAGCACACCCATATGGAGGCCGATACGATACATGCATCCATTGAAGAAGCTAAAGAGACTGCCATGGAAATCGAGGTGTCACATGACTGGACAAACTTTAAGTTTGTTTTTTCTGTAAACTTAAGTTTACGTTTTTAAGCGTATTTGAGGTTGGCCAAGAAGAATTTTTAAATTATGGAGATGTCCTAAAAAAAAGTGCACAGAAAAAAATTAAAAGGATTTGGTATTATAGATGCAAATCAAACAAATATAGTTTCAAAAAAATCTTGAATATTAATTTTTGTATAAAACTGACTTTAATGATGGCGATTTTAAAAAAGTAGATGAGCAGGTAAAAGCTTCAACAACTACCAATAGCCAACACAAAATATGATGATTTAATGCAGTTTTTGCCGTACATTATTGATCATAACAAAACGTATTTTAAACAGTTAAAACATTCCTCAACATTAAATGCCGATGACTATCCTGGTTTAGAGGAAGAGTACAGTAAAACTTACTGTAGAATAGAAATAGTTTGTTTTTACAGAAAGTCATGTTATTTTTTAAATACTTAAATAAACGAATTTT